GCCAGTTTCCCTTAATGCTAGTGCCTTCTTTCTTGGATTATCTTCAATGTGTACTGTATATATCTTGTTTGTACTTAGTTGTTCAAATTTTCTCTCTCACAGTTCAACTAAGGACAGGTATTGCTTTTCTCTTTCTTTGTATCCCTAATGTTTAGCACAGTTCCTGAAACTTAGTAGGTGCTAAATAAATATTTGTTGACTTGACTTGGACATCCTTAGTTTGATATGAAAGGAGAACATCCAATTAGAAATATATAAGTAGCTGGAAATTCAGGACTGAAGCTCAATTTGGGAGTATACATGTAGACTTAGGAGTCAGCTTGAAATTGAAGCTATGAGAATGGATAAGAATGTCAAAGAACTGACTCTAGGGAAAGAAGAGATTAGGAAGAGGACAGAGCCTCAGGTGATGTCCATTCTCGCAGGGCAGGAAGAGGAAGAAAAACTAGCCAAGGAAACCAAAAATGGAGGAGCAAGAGTAGGAAGAGGAAGAGAAGGGGAAAGAAGAAGGAGAAGAAGAAGGAGAAGAAGGAGAAGAAGGAGAAGAAGAAGAAGAAGAAGAAGAAGGAGAAGAAGAAGAAGAAGAAGAAGAAGAAGAAGAAGGAGAAGAAGAAGAAGAAGAAGAAGAAGAAGAAGAAGAAGAAGAAGAAGAAGAAGAAGGAGAAGAAGAAAGAAAGAAAGAAAGAAAGAAATTGTCTTTACTTTCAGGCAGCTTGTCAGAGAGATAGTATGTACTTATACATAAGTACATACAGAATAAATTCAAAATAAATACTATGTACTTAGGGAGAGAGGACATTTGGAGAGATTCAGGCAAAGCTTTCTGTAGAAAGTGGTGCTTGAGCTGTGTCTTATAGGAAGAGATGCATTCTTTGAGGTGGAATTGAGGAGGGAGTGAATGTCAGGTTTGAAGGACAGTGTGCAAAAACACAGAGATGGGGTGGTGTGTGTGTGAGGGACAGAGAAAGGGCTGCAATGTGGCCAGGCAGTAGAATATAGGTACAAAAATGGGCATGAATGATGAAACAAAGTCCTAGAGGAGAAGAAGGCAGTCATTCAACTAGCATATATTAAGTAGTTACCACATGCTCAGGCACTGTGTGCTAAGCACTTGGGTACAAAGAAAGGCAAAATACTAGGAGACAAAATTAGCTAAGAAGGTGGAAACAGAGTGCCTACCTGTAGATTTATGATTGTTAGAAGGATCAGAAAATGGTGATATGATTGAGTGGTGTGTACTTCAAGAGAGGAGAAGTACTAGAGGACAATGTTATGATAGGAGTACTGCTTTCAGTTAAAAGTGAATCATTACCAATTGTGCTGAACTTGGGTTCAAGAATATTTGAGTTTGAATGCTTCCTTAAATACTTACTAGCTGTGTGACCTGGGCCCATCACTTAACTACTCTGCCCTCAGTTTTCTCATTTATAAAAAATGGATGGGTTAGACTCCATGACCTCTAAAGTTCTTTCCAACTACAAATCTATGATCCTAAGTCCTCTCATCATATAAAAGTAAATCAATCTATACTTTGGACTAAGCTTCTTTATTTTCTAATTTAGAAATTCTTCATTGCCAAGCACTGGTAATCCATTTTACGTCTTGATATTTTGTTTCACCCCCACAAGGTTTTACAATTTTATTTCTATCATTATTAACTCAGGTTCAATAGAGAACCTCCCTTACCCTTCTTGTGCATTTTGCCTTAGCCCAGTGACTTTCAAGTAGCCCTGTACACATCTGATCTCTTGTGCTTGGAACTACAAGTTTAGTTAAGTTAGGAAAGTTTACCTTCGAAGTTATACATCAGTCAGTCCAGACTCCATTCCCTACAGGATAATGAAATTTTCTTTTTGACACATTCTAGCAGTTGCATTCATCACTTCTTCTAGCACTGTGCCTTGATGTGTAGGTTCTTTAGCAAACCTCCCACATTGTCTCTGCCACCGACATTAAAAAAAAATACATTTGCATGTGAAATATCCGTTTCTGCCTCCGACTTGCAGTCTTACTCCAGATAATGGATCTTCAACAATTAATGATCTCCTTGGAGACACATTTAAATTCACAGTCTATGACTCCCACAGAAGAAAGTGATCTTTGTATGTATGGAGTTGTCTTACTAGTTGAATATATATATGCATATGTATGTGTATATATATATATATATATATATATATATATATATATATTGCTATAGGTTTGTATAAAGAATAACCTTTCTTACCAAAAAAGCATGGAATTGTTATTTGTAATGTTAAAACAAATCCTCTTCATTACTTCTTTATTATTTGATTTTTCTTGTCCCAATTTTGTTAAGTGCCTACTATGTGCAGAGTGCTTTTGTCATTGTCATAAGCTTAGGCATGTTTGTAATTGGCTTTGATTATTTATTTATTTATTAATTTTTGGGTTTAGATTGATTCTTTCATCTCTGTAGGGGACTTCCTGACCTGAAAATTCTCTTCACTGATACATATCTGCAATTCCTCTGCCCTGAGGGGTTGTTGTTTGTTCTTTATTCTAGAAGAGTCTAGACTATGAAGTCAGGAAGGAGATGTCATGACTTGCAAATGAATTGGATTTAAGTGAGGGACGGCTGTGCAAAGTCACCAGCCTCACTGTCTCCTGAGTCTAGAGGCAAGATATAGATCAGGATGACTGGAGATGGCTCTGGATGCAGTGGGAGATCTTGGCTTTTTTAAGTTAAGATCTTTCCCAGGTCTCAGTTTACCTGAGGCAACACCCATTCAGTGATTAAGTAAAAATGAGGCAAAGAATGGTCTTTTTTACCTGCCCTGAGGGGTATAGTATGGGCTGCTAGGTGGCACAATGTATGGAACACTGGACCTGGAGTCAGGAATACTCATCTTCCTGAGTTCAAATGTGGCCTCAGACATTTACTAGCTGTGTGATCCTGGGAAGTCACTTAGCCCTGTTTGATGAGTTCGAGAAGGAAATGGCAAACCACTGCAGTATCTTTGCCAAGAAAACCCCAAATGAAGTCACAAAGAATTGGGCATGATTGAAACGCCTCAGCAACAACAAGGCGTATGAAGGTATTCTGTGGGTCATCCAGATGGTATTTAAGAGGCAAGGCTTAAACCTAGGTCTTCCTGACCACAAGATCAGCCTTCTATCTGTCACATCATGCTGCTTCTCATTAGCCTCTCCTTTTTTTTTAAAAATAGCAACGACAGCACCATGTTGATCAAGTTTTAAGCATGATGGCTAGCATGAAAAGATTCAGCACACAAACAATTCGATGCTAGGCCAAATTACTGAACAGTCTCGTTATTCCTATTTTGTTCCTTGTAGTAGAACAAAGTGGTAGTCCACAGAAGGATATACCTTCTAGCTGTTTTCTGTGATGCTGGCCTACAAGTATTAGGAGGTAATATCTTCTCTTAATAATTTATCACTTAATCAATTAGCGAGTACCCATTAAGCTCCTACTCTGTGCCAGGTACTGTATTAGGTGCTGGGGATACAAGTGAAGCAATCGCTATTCACAGAGTGCCTACAACTATTAATTCTTCCTTTACTTAAAGCCTTCTTGAAACTACATTTTCCATGTGTGTTACCCATGTTCTCAATTTCTCTCTAGAAAAAGAAGCACTTCCTATCCTTTTTTCCTATCACTTTTGAGTTTCCCATGGTCTCTCTTTCTAATACTCTGAGATTGAATAAAAAAACTCTGTTTTCTACCTATTTCTACTTTTCCTAATCATAGGCTTTTAGATCTAGGGGTAGGAGTGAACTTACAGATCATTTGGTCCAACATCCTCATTTTCAGATGAGTAAACAAAGGCACAGAGATATTTGAGTGTATTCTCTTTGTCCTTGCAAACAAAGGCTACTCCTAGCCTTTTTAATCTTTGTTCACCTGAGGCCAATTCATCATTCCAGTGATGGAGTTAATGTGTATAAAACACTTAGCTATAAAAGATGATTTAAATGTCAGCTAATATTATCATTTTAGCTGTCCGTCCCTGGACCTTCTCTGAGTCTATTATGTTTTGGCCAACTCTAACACTAGCTAAGGCTCATTTTCCCCAAGTCGACACTTTTGGACTATCAAGTTCTCAACGTAAAGGGCAGGCAGAATATGCTACTTTCCCCCAGGACACTGATGTTCTCACTCTTGACTTTTTCTAAAATATGTTGCAGGATTTTTGTTGTCAGAGAATCCTTAATGATAACTGACATGGCTCAGTTTCAATTGGCACAGAAAGGAACAGCTACTAGTGAAATTTGATGAATATAAAGTAATAATACAGTGTTTATTTCCATTGCTGAAGAATTCTGCTCTTTCCCCTGCTCCTTGCAATGAGGAACCAGAATGGTATTTTAAACATCAGATGAATCAAAATGGAAAATTCATCTGATCTGGAGGTGAAACAGAGATTCCCAACAGCATGACATTTTTGGAAAGACTTGCTTCACCCCAAAAGTAGGAGTCATTCCTCTCTGTCTTTAGCCCTTCTTCATAATGTCCATTCAAGGAATTCCAGAACATTAGACTAGGAAGAGAACCTCATTTGTTAGCTATGGAAATGGAAGCACACAGAGAAAAAGTGCTTGTGAAAATAAGTCTTTGGGCTCCAAGCCAGGTGCTCTTTCTATCCTCCCACAGAGGTAAAATAGGGTGGCAGCCAGAGCAATTCTTTAAGAATGCTTTTTTTATTAGTATCCAAATGGTCAAATTCGATGATGACATACACATCAAAAATGACACTCAAGAATAGGACTTCTTAATAGTTTTTGTGACATAGACTCCTTTGATGAAAACGTCTTGGAATAATAAAATGCACAAAATAAAATTCATAGGCTAACCAAAGGAACCAATTGTGCTGAAATACAGTTATCAGAATGTTAACATAAAACAAGTTCATGGACCTTAAGCTAAAAATCCTTGTGTTTAGACTATTCTTTGTGCAGCGTCAACATTGTCATGATTCCAAGTATCTTTTAACATTCATTTTACAATTTTCTTACAGATAAAACCTGTGATTACAGTGATGACTACATTCCGAGGTAAGCGCTCAGATCTTTCAGTCACAAAGTAGAATCAGCGTGGACTCTGGTGGGCTGAGGAGGGAAACAAAGGGCTGTCTTTTCTAAAGAAAGAAAAGTGAATTTTTGCTTTGTTAATATCATCACCTCCCCTACAGAGATTGTAAACCTTCATGGATTATTATTTACCTTTGGACATAGAAGCCCTCATTTTGAACAGTATCTCATTCTAAGTCAGTAGCAGTACAGGGTCAGAGACAGAAATGAGACACTAACTTGGTATCTACACACTTTGTAGAGCTTCAGAGATTCATAGATTTTTGAACTGAAAGGCACCTAGATCATCTTGACTAGGGGTGGGGAATGTGAGGCCTCGAGGCCACATGTGGCTCTCTAGGTCCTCAAGTGTGGCCCTTCAAATGACATTTTTTTTTTCTGCAAAGTTTGGATTCAGTCAAAGGAGACTTGAGGACCTAGAGGGCCATATGTGGCCTCGAGGCTGGAGATCCCCCCCGTCCTCTGATCTAGACCCTTTCTCCTCTCCCCACCCCTCATCTTACAGAATAGGAAAGTGAGATCCAAAGAGAGGGTGTGATGTCCAAATTGACATCTTGCCAATGCAGGGACTCAAATCCCAATCTCCTTGACCCCAGTCTCTCACCCTTCTGACTGCACCAATATGAGAGATTCTCTGTATATAGGAAAGAAGGGGGAAAAAAAACTTATGAAGCACATACTATATAACATACACTGCACTAAGTGCTTTACAGTTATTATTTCATTTGATCCTCACAAGAACCCTGGGAAGTAGGTGCTATTATTATCTCTGTTTTACAGATATGGAAACTGAGGCAAACAGATTAAATGACTTGCCCAGGGTCACACAGCTAGTAAATGCCTGAAGTCAGATTCGAATTTAGGTCTGCCTGATTCTAGGCCAAAGCATGCTATCCACTGTGTTAATTGCCTCTAAACATAGAGGCATACAAAGAAGCCAATATAAAGAGTTTGAGATGATATTATAAAGGATTCTATAGTATCATGGAATGCTCAAGTTATGCTAAGCATGGCAAGGACAAAGTACATAGTATAGACAGCATTGCTTTTCCCAAACAATGTGCCCCACTCTGAGTTACGGTGTACCATCAAACAGATTCTTTTCACATCAGGATGAATAATCTTGTAACAATACTTAGAACTCTGGGATGATTTAGGCTTATATGAAAAGAAAGAGACCAGGCTGTTCAATAACAATAACCTTCTCATCAGGGTAGGAGAGAGTGACTAGATTCTTCTCTCTCTCCTCTCTCTCTGCCCCTCCCTCTCTCCCTCCTTTATCTCCCTCTTTCCCTCCTTTACCTCTCTCTCTCTCTCTCTCTTTCTCTCCCCCTCTTTCTCCCTGTCTCTCTCCTTTCCTCCCTCCCTACCCCTTTCCCTGGGACAGTCCTCTTTATCGTGCTTGTGCTTTTTAAAAATCAATTGCTCCTCATGTAAAAATTCCTGGTGGTTCCTGCAGTTAAGCAACAGAGAGACTCAAAGATGGGTGGTACTGGACTTACTATGCAGGATTCTATACAAGAGGCTATTTCCATGCCATAGCAAATGGCACAGGGATTTGCTGTTCTGGTTAGAAAAAAGGAAGACTTATAAAATGAAAGTCCTGAATAACAAATACTATCAGCTGTCTATCCAAGTCAATCTCTCTATAAAAACATTATTTAAAAATATTTATAACTTGTTACCTGTACTTGTGTAATATGATATTCTTAAAATCTGGGAAGCTTCATAAAAGATTACATTAGTCATGGGGAGAGGGTAGGGAGAAACGACTGGGAATGTCAGCAATGATTGTTTTAGACTTGGAATGCTAAGAGATTCTAGGACAGAGAGTGATGAAGTCAGCAAAATGAGAGGGGAAAGGGAAGGGAAAATAAGACAGGTTTCAGCAAGGGATGAACAAAAGACCAAATCTCTCTCTCTGTACACTATCATTACAATGACTACATATCCTGGATTTTCCAAGGGCAGTCTCAATGGCACATGTTCCTAGTGTTTCTATAACCTGGTAAAACATCCAACTCGGAAGCAGCCAAAGATGATTTTGTGCCTGTTTTCAGTTGTTCCACCTGCCTCACTGAGATCACTTCCTTTCCCTTGACACACAATTATGGAGGTAGTTGGATGCCCTGTTAGCCATAGTTAACATAGCTGGTGTTTGGATGTATTAAAATAACTTCACTGTTTCCATAACTGATGGGCTCAGTGTGGAAGCTATGGTGAAGAGAGTATTGGTTTTCACAATTCCAGAAGACTTGTGATATCTACCTCTAGGCAGAGGCAGAATGGACTCAGTACAGATTGAGGCATACATATTTTCTTTTTTGGACATAGCTAATACAAGAATTTGTTTTGCTTGCCTATACATGTTTGTAGTTTAAAAAAATTCTCAATGAGGGGCTAAGAGGAGATGGGAGGGATAGAATTTGGAGTTGAAGATAAAATTAAATAAAAAAAAATTGAAAAGAGAGAGTCACTATATCACTATTTCTTTACCAAATCCCTATTATACCCCTGAATTGGTTTATCAGAAACACAATAACTTAAAAGTGAGAGAGCGTCTATAATCAGAGGCAGCATTGCACAGTGTAAGATGTGGGTTCAAGCCCTGCCTCTGACACATACTACTTATATGACCACACACAAGTCATTTAATAATAACTCAGATGTTTCAACAGCTCTCTAAGATGACAAATTATAAAATCTTTTCCAGTCTGAATCATTTGTTTCACTATGAATGTTCCCTTAACTGATGAAATCATAGAATTGGTCTTAAAAAAAACCCCTGTACATAATACAACCAAGATCCAGTCGGCTCTACACTTCTTTCTAAAGTTTGTTCTCATCTGGTCAGTGTGTGTGTGTGTGTGTGTGTGTGTGTGTGTGTGTGTGTGTGTGTGTTTTCCAAAAATAATGACGATGTTAATCAGTCCTCCATTTGTTATCATTCAAGTTTTTATATCCATTCTCCAAATCATCAGGCAGAAGAGTCATGTCTATAAACAGTTGTACATATGACTACAATTAAAGCCTGGGGGAAGGAGAGGAAAGGACAAGACAGCAGAGGAGAAGAGAGGAGAGGAGAGGAGAGAGCGAGAGAGCGAGAGAGACAGACAGACAGACACAGAGACAGCAGAGACAGAGACAAAGACAGAAAGACAGAGAGAGAAACAGAGAGACAGAGAGAGTGTGTGTGTGTCTAGGAGGTGGAGGAAGAGGAAACCGAGTTGATTCTAATGTCTGCAAATAGTCTAGTTTTATAATTGTGCATATTGTGGTTTAGTAGAAAAATCCCTAAAACAACAAGATCTGGGTTTCCCTTGACCATTAACTATGGGCAAATCACTTACCTTCTCTTGGTCTCTAGTGGCTTATTAGCAAAAGGCAGAACCCAAGAGAACAGATGGAGAATCTGAAGGGACCTCAGAGATCATCCAGTCCAATGCCTTTACTTTACATAAAGAAGCTGAAGCCAGGAGTTTGGACTTAGAGGGATTTGAAGCCAGGTTGTCTGACCCTAAAGTCAGTCCTCCTTGTGCTTGTTCTCTTATCACCAAAAATCCTTGATATCTTCAGCCATAAATATGCTTTTGTTAAATGGTTTTCTTGCTTATATTAAGTGAGTCATAAATCAGAGAGACATGCTACTTATACTTTGATTTAACAGGTTTGGGCCTGAATCCTCACTCTGACACTACAGGTATGTCCTTGGGTAGGACACTTCTCTTATCTAGAATTCAATTTTCTTATCTTTAACATAAAGAGATCAGGCAAGATCATCTCTAAGACCCTTTTCAGCCCCAAATCCTATGATTAATGAACTTTACTTCTGTAAAGCTCACCTGTAGCAAACAATTGAAATGTGGTCTAATGCTATAGCATGGCTAATAAAGGAGTAAGACTTAATATGGTGAGCATTAAATTTTTAAAAAATTTTTAAAATGTTTTATTTTCCTAATCAGCTAAAATCCACCTTCTCACCTCCTGCCTTCACCCTTACAAATGAGAACACAAGAAAAACAAATTTCCACATTAGCCATATCCAATTTTTTTTGTCTCATTCTGCACTCAGCATCCTTCCCTTCTCTATCAGTATGTGGATAGCATGTTTCCTCATTAATTCTCTGGAATCATGGATTGTCAGTTGCTTATGAGCTCTGCCCAGTGACATTCCATCATACTTTTAAAATTAATTAATTTATTTTTAGTTTTCAACATTCACTTCCCTAAATTTTGAGTTTTAAATTTTCTCCACCTCCCTCTTCTCTCCCCTCCCCAAGACAGCATGCAATCTGATATAGGTTCTACATATACATTCCTATTAAACATATTTTCACATTAGTCATGTTGTAAAGAAGAATTAGAACTAATGGGAGGAGCCATGAGAAAAAAGAAACAAAACAAAAAAAAAAAAAAGAGAGAGAGCAAATAGTATGCTTCAAATTGCAATCAGACTCCATAGTTCTTTCTCTGGGTGTGGATAGCATTTTCCATCATGAATCTTTTGGAGTTATCTTAGATCCTTGCATTGCTAAGAAGAGATAAGTCTATCAAAGTCAGTCATCACATAATGTGGCTGTTACTGTGTACATGTTCTGGTTCTGCTCACTTCGCTCAGCATCAGCTTGTATAAATCCTTCCAGGTTTTTCTGAAGTCTGCCTGCTCATCATTTCTTATAGCACAATAGTATTCCATTACATATACCACAACTTGTTCAACCATTCCCCAATTGCTTGGCACCCCCTCAATTTCCAATTCTTGGCCACCACACAAAGAGCTGTTATAAATATTTTTGTACATTTCCCATTTTTATGATCTCTTTAGGATCCTAGAAGGTCCTAGAAGTGCTATTGCGGGGTCAAAGAGTATGCACATTTTTATAGCCCTTTGGGCATGGTTCCAAATTGCTCTCTAGAATGGTTGGATGAGTTCTTAACTCCACCAACAATGCATCAGTGTTCTA